GAATCAATAACCACTGCACCCTGAACACAATCTTTTCGCCAGTTTTCTATCCATTTACATACAGATTTTTCCAAGTCTGTAGACTTTACCTTACACATTAGCAGTGTGTGGGGAACTGTGTCAAACGCTTTTGCAAAATCCAAGTACAGTGGGGCAAAAAAGTATTTAGTCAGCCACCAATTGTGCAAGTTCTCCCACTTAAAAAGATGAGAGAGGCCTGTAATTGGCATCATAGGTAGACCTCAACTATGAGAGACAAAATGAGAAAAAAAATCCAGACAATCACATTGGCTGATTTGGAAAGAATTTATTTGCAAATTATGGTGGAAAATAAGTATTTGGTCACCTACAAACAAGCAAGATTTCTGGCTCTCACAGACCTGTACCTTCTTCTTTAAGAGGCTCCTCGGTCCTGCACTCATTACCTGTATCAATGACACCTGTTTGAACTTGTTATCAGTTGTCCACAACCTCAAACAGTCACACTCCAAACTCCACTATGGTGAAGACTAAGAGCTGTCGAAGGACACCAGAAACAAAATTGTAGACCTGCACCAGGCTGGGAAGACTGAATCTGCAATAGGCAAGCAGCTTGGTGTGAACAAATCAACTGTGGGAGCAATAATTAGAAAATGGAAGACATACAAGACCACTTTTTGCTACTCGGCGCTACACTAATTCAACTGATAATTGCGCGGCCATGCAATGCTGCACCCAAACGAAATTTACGGCCTTTTTTTCACACAAATAGAGCTTTCTTTCGGTGCTATTTGATCACCTGTGCGCGTTTTATTTTTCTCGCTATAAACAAAAAAGATTTTGAAGAAGATTTTGAAGAAAAACGATATTTTTTACTTTCAGCTATAAAAAATATATAGTAAACTCAAAGTTAGTTATAAATTTAGGCCAAAATGTATTCTGCTATATGTTTTTGGTAAAATAAAAATCCCAATAAGTGTATATTGATTGCTTTGTGTGAAAGTTATAGAGTCTACAAACTATGGTATAGATACTGCAATTTACACCTTTTTTTGCTATACAGCGCTGCGCTAGTTTAACGGACAATTGCGCGGTCATGCAATACGGTACATAAATGAAATTTATGTCCTTTTTTTCCCCACACAAATAGAGCTTTCTTTTGGTGGTATTTGATCACCTGTGCACTTTTTATTTTTGGTGCTATAAACAAAAAAATTGATATTGATCCGTTCAGACACTATACTATCAATGGAGGTTTATTGTGCATGATCGTGCTCCTGGCAATCAAGGGGTTAAATGTGATGACTGGTGTACTGACGGGCAATCTGACACTATGTGCAAGGGGCGTGAATACCATGGCACGGGAGAGCAAATCATGTATATGTGTGTGAGAGAGAGAGAAAGAGAGGGGGGGGGGAGAGGGGCGGGGAGAGAGAGATGATTTTGCGCATCCATGCCGCCCAGTAGCAGTAATTCTGCGGTCAGGAAGCGGTTACAGAAGAGGTTTGTGTTACGCTGATGCGTTACTTTAACTGACAATTGCGTGGTCATGCAACACTGCACCCAAATTAAATTTTCACCCTTTTTTTCCCCCACAAATTGAGCTTTCTTTCAGTGGTATTTGATCGCATATGCGGTTTTTATTTTTTGCGCTATAAAAAAAAAAAAAAGGCTGAAAATTTTGAGGAAAAAAGAACCTATATTTTGGACTTTTTGCTATAAAACATGTCCAGTAAAGTAAGTTTTTTTTTTTTTATACTAATAATGGCGGCGATCAGCGATTTATGACAGTGATCAGTGACTTATGGCGGGACTGCGGCGGACATTTTGGCACTGGGGGGAACTGACATCCCCAGTGACACCAATACAGTGATCAGTGCAAAAAAAAAAAAAAAACACAAATGACACTGTACTAATGGCACTGGGGAGGAAGGGGTTAATGTTCTTTAGGCAAGGAAAGTGTTAACTGTGTTAGGGGAGTGTTTTACTTGGGGGCTGAGGTGTGTGCTTCACAGGAACACAGCTGATCCAGAGAGATAAACTGTGCTCTCAGGATCAGTGTGTTAAGAGCTGACAGGGAGCAGAGCTGTGTGCTCTGTGTCACTGTTTGCTGGCAATCGCCGGGACCCAGCGGGTAATGACCAGCCGGGACCCGGTGATTGACACCCACGGCCACGATCGGTGGCACGGGTAGGGCGGTCGCTCGCCCCCTACCTGTTTTGCAATATCACATTTTAAAACGTGATTTTGCCAAGCGGTGCCAACTTGTGGCAGTTTTTCTACAGTGGCTGGACAGCAAGCAGTTAAAATATTTTTTTCCAGCAAGAACTCATCTATGTGGTCTTTTATTAAACTCTCCAGTATCTTCCCAACTATAGAAGTTAAACAGGTCTATAATTACTTGGTAAAAATTCTGACTCATTTTTAAATATTGGCACCACATTGGCATATGACGCCATCCCAGAACTGGCCAGCCGCAGTACAGCCATCATTCGGCTATCTGCGGTTGACAAGCAGTTAAAGCGGAGCTCCACCCAAAAGGGGAAGTTCTGCTTTAATGCTCTGTCCCCTGTTTCCCATTAAGGATTGGCACCTTTGAGGAGCGAGGGAGGGGGCACCCGAATTTGACAGGTACCCGCTCCCACTTCCTCTGCAATCGAACTACAAGTCCCATCATGCCTCTGCCTTTGGGAGTCATGCTTGTAACTGTCAGTTTTGCAATGCCTCATGGGACTTGTAGTTCTACAACAGCTGGAGGGTCACAGTTGCCCACCCCTGGCCTAGGCGATTGGAAGTGAAAGTAGTCCCCCCCGTAGTCTTCTGGGACACGTGACAGGTCCCAGAAGACTACGGGGGGGGGGGGGGGGCATTCACAAAGCACAGCGCATCTCGCGCATGCGCGGTGGGCACCCGGCTGTGAAGCCGCAAGCTGTCACAGCTGGGTGCCCACACTGAAGATGCCTGCGCCAGGGAGAGAAGACAGCCAGTGAAAACCAGCGGTGGTGAGGATGCCACTGGACCGAGGGACAGGAAAGCGGCTGTATTTTAATAAAAAAGTCAGCAGCTACAGTTTATGACTTTTTTTTTTTTTTCAGGTGGAACTCGGCTTTAACGCCTTAATAAAGTCCACTTTGCAACTTTTACCTATAGGTAAGCTTGTAATAAAGCTTACCTGTAGGTAAAGTGAATATCTCCTGTACTGTCTGTACTCTGTCTGCCCTCATGTGGTAAAGCACTGCACACTGTCAGCGCTCTATAATTCCTGTATAATAAGAATCTCCTAAACGTGCACCATTTAAGAGATATACTAGTGAGCAGCAGCCAGTGATGCCACCAGCATATGTGCTCTGAAGGGATAGCATACTCATGTCGTCCCTCAGATCTCTCTGCCGCAGCATCATCACAGCTTGGCCATTCAAATGGCAGGAGCCCATGAGCTGGAAAGCAATACTGGGTAAAGTAAAAGTCATTCCAAACTCTGATTCCTAAATGGAAAAATCTTTCCCCGGATCTTTATTGCCGAGCCCTCCAATTGGCTCCCAAGGAAAATGTGAACATTTAAAACATTATAAAAAATTGCCTTATTCCCATGCCACAAGAACCTCTAGGGTCGCCGAGCAGCCTTTAGGAGTGTTTGGCATGTGTCTCCAGTGTCCAAGATGGCCGATCCACCACTTCCGGTTCCTCTCTGTGCGTCCGACGTCACTTCCTTATTTGTGACACCCTCACCAGGGCAAGACATGAGAACAAGGCTTACGGGTGGGTTTTTCTAGCTCTACTGAAAATCACCATTTCAAATGCTTGGTAACGCAAATTGCTAATCACATGGCAGCAATTCAATGCATTTAGGCATGTAGATGTAGTAAAAAACGACTTGCTGAAGTTCAAACCTAGTATCTGAATGGGGAAGAAAGGGGATTTAAGTGACTTTGAACGTGGTTGTTGGCGCAAGACAGACTGGTTTCAAAAGCTGATCTACTGGGGATTTTCACACACAAACCATCTTTGGGGTTTACAGAGAATGGTCCAAAAAAGAAAAAGAGAAAATATTCAGTGAGCAGCAGCAGTTGTGTGGATGAAAATGATGTCAAAGGTCAAAGGAGAATGAGCATACTGGCTCGACATAATAGAAAGGCAACAGTAACTCATGTCAACATGGACCAAAATCTCTGAGGATTGTTTACAACTTGTTGAATCTATGCCAAATTAGTAAAGCATAAGGGGGTGCAACCCAGTACTAGCAATGTGTACCCACAGACACATACACACACAAAACACTAACTTCTTTCCATACACATCTTTAGGATGACCACCCTAAAATGAATGCTTCACCTGTGTCGCCTACTTAAGAGGTCCACTTTTTACCCACCATCAAGTAGAGAAAACTCACATGAAGACCCCGGCAACAGCTCATTACTATGCAGCACAGCTGAGCAGTGGAGCACAGAATTTAGCAAATTGTCATTTTGACACTTTTCAAGTGTGGTAAAAAAAAAAAGGGGAACAAAAAATTTGGCAGCAAAAATTGTGAGCTGGCTTTGTTTTTTTATTACAGAATGCAATGTCTCTTCTGCAATAAAAACACTTACCTGCCTATTCACAATCTTCTTTTGAATGTACACTGAGCAACTCAGCATGCATTCTTAGCAGAGAGCAGGTATGCTGAGATGAGCGACTCATGCACATACACAGAAGTCACATTATCTCTGCAGGCCAATCAAAAGGTTGATAACATGGCACCTGGAAGATGATGTTAGCAGCCAGCGAGGGATCAAATGGTTGCATCATTTGAATAGTAGCAAGTATTCTGTAGACCTCAGATCTGCTTTAACCACTTGCCTACAGGGCACTTATACCCCCTTCCTGCCCAGGCCAATTTTCAGCTTTCAGCACTGTCACACTTTGAATGACAATTGCGCGGTCATGCAACACTGTACCCACAGGAAATTTTATCATTTTTTTGTGACAGATAAAGCTTTCTTTTGGTGGTATTTAACCACCACTGGGTTTTTTATTTTTTGCTAAACAAACCAAAAACAACTGAAAAATTTTTTTTTTTCTTCAAAGAGCAAACGTTGTTTCTTAGATTTTGTTATAAAATTTTGTAAATAAGTGATTTTTCTCCTTCACTGATGTGCGCTAATGAGGCTGCAGTGATGGGCACTGATGAGCATTGACAGGCATCACTGATGGGCACTGAAAGGCAGCACTCATATGGCACTGACAGGTGGCACTGACAGGCGGCATTGATGTGGTACTGATGGGCACTGGCACGAGGCACTGATGGACACTGACAGCTGGCACTGCTGGGGCTAAACAGATCATCAAGGCACACTGATCATCAGTGCTCTGATGATCAGTGTACATGTCCCCTCTGAGGAATGCCGATTACCGGCTCTCCTCTCCTCACCAGCTGTCAGCGTGACGGCTCGTGAGAAGAGAGATGCAGATAACCGGCATTTCCCTATTTACACGCGATAAGCTGTGATTGGAAACAGCTGATCACATGACCGAGCCAACGTCTTCGCCTCTTTCCGTTGATCGGTGCCCCCGAAGCCGCGCACGCGTGGTTAGAGTGGAAGGACGTCATACGATGTCCTCCTAGAACGAGAGAACCACCTTGCGCCCGTCATTTCCTTATATGGCGGGTGGGAGGCGGTTAAGGATAAGTTCACCTTTTCGGGCAGAATTTCACTTTTCATAATAAATAGAAGCATTTTTCCAATGCCATTTCTGGCCCAACCAACCCACTGTGCTGGACAATTAATTTTTGTGTCAGTTTTTACAGGATGTTTAAATTTTTTCAGTCTCCGTGAGATTGTAAAAAGATTTTCAGGATTGTATAATTTCCTGTAGATGGACTTTCAGAATTCACTTCCTGTTGGCCACTTCCCAGAAGCCTTCACTTCCTTGTTGCATCACAGAAGAGGGTGTGTTCACCACTCCTCCACACCTCCCTTATTACATTTCTACCTTCCTCCTATCAGCCATGTAGTGCAAGGGCCTGCCCAAATAGATAGAAATGTAATAGATGGTTCAAGCATGTCCTTCTATTCCATAGTTCTGGAAAAAAAAAAACTAAAATGAAATTGTACAATCAGATTGCATAGTGTATGGCCATCTTTATACAAGTACATGGTAGGAAGTGGATGGAGACACTCAGTTGTCAGGCTCCATTTACATCTTCATGTAGTGAAGACTCACATTCCTGCATGCGTTTGTTTTGGAGCATTTTCAATCGTCACACATAGGGAAGCCCATTCACTTGAAAGGACACACACACGAACACACACACTTGCCCCAGAACTTTTTCTGGAGCAGAACACGGTGCGTTACTGAAGTTTTTGGTGCACTTACAGCACTTAGGGTGCCTTTAACACATTACGACAACACAAACACGATGCACATTTGAAGCATGTTTCTGAAACACATGGCAAAGCTCGCATTTTCTGTGCAGATTGCCATGTGTTCAGAAACACACAGTTGTGAATAGAACCTCTGTTCTGTGTAATCGCACCAATTTCAGTTTCAGGCGCCATTCACACCTAGTTTTTTGGCTCGTTCTTCCAGTGACACATAAGGCAGCCCGTTGATTTCAATGGGCTGCGTACACGTGGCAAAGCTCATGGGACATTTTGGCATGATGCGAGTTGCACATTTTTTACCGCACATTTTGCTGCATTTGTCACCCATTTTTTTCATGTGGAAAAATGTGTGCTTGTTTCGGTGTCGTTAATTAACTACCTGCCGACCGCAGATAGCCGAATGACGGCTGCACTGCGGCCGGCCAGTTCTGGGTGGACGTCATATGACGTCCTCCCAGAACGCGCTCTCCTGCGCGCCCCAGGGGGCGCGCACCCGGCGATCTCCATGATCGCTGTGTCCTACGGACACAGCTGATCACGTGATGTGGTAAAAGGCCAATCACAGCGGCCTTTTACCACGTGATCAGCGGTGTCCAATGACACACTGATCAAAGGGAAATGCAAGTGCCGGTTCTCGGCTGCACTTTCCTCACGCTGTCAGATCATGAGGAAAGTACTGCCGAGAACCGGCAGTTGTCAGAGCGGGGATCGGCACCGATCATCAGGGCACTGATGATCAGTGCCCTGATGATCGGTGCCCAGCAGTGCCACCCGCAAGTTTCGCCCACCTGTGCCCAGCAGTGCGCCCACTAGCTCCGCCCACCTGTGCCCAGCAGTGCCACCCACCTGTGCCCAGCAGTGCCACCCACCTGTGCCCAGCAGTGCCACCCACCTGTGCCCACCCACCAGTGCTGCCCACCTGTGCCCACCCACCAGTGCTGCCAGTCAGTGCCACCAGTCAGTGCCCAGGGGTTGTGCCAGTCAGTGCCGCCAGTCAGTGCCCAGCAGTGATGCCAGTCAATACCGTCTATCAGTACCAATCATCAGTGTCACCTATCAGTGCCGCCTATCAGTGCTGCATATTAGTGCCGCCTATCCGTGACACCTCATTAGTGCTGTCTATCAGTGCCGCCTATCCGTGCCACCTTATTAGTACTGCCTATCAGTGCCCTTTAGTGCTGCCTATCAGTGCCGCCTATCAGTGCCTTTTTTTATTTATAGCGCAAAAAGTAAAGCGCCCAGTGGTGATTAAATACCACCAAAAGAAAGCTCTATTTGTGAGAAAAAAATTATCAAAATTTCATATGGGTACAATGTTGCATGACCGCGCAATTGTCAATCAAAGTGCGGCAGCGCTGAAAGCTGAAAATTGGCCTTGTAAATAAGGGGGTATAAGTGCCTGGTAGGTAAGCGGTTAATGACACTGAAAGCAGAACTAGTTAATTTTAGGTATACATGTTGCCATACACTATATAATCTGATTTTGTTTTCTATATTTTGAGTTTACAATTTGCTTTAAAGTGGAACTAAACCCATCAATTTAGTTTCCCTAAACAATTACATCCCAGGCAATTCTTGAATGATAAATGTTATGGTTGCTTGTGCTGTCAACCAACCTGTCAAACTATCAAATGGCTGGTGTCATTACTGATCAACACCATTCCTCCAGCAGCTCAAACAGAAGCTAAGAATGGCAGTTTCCTTTGCTGTGAAGCAGGGGTCTCCAAACATGCTAAACAAATGGCCAGTTCACCGTCTTTTAAACTTCAGAAGGGCCGGACAGTGGCCAGAGGGAATAAACAACATCTTGGCACCAGTGGAGGGGACGGCCGCCCCATCCTTGGCGCCAGTGGAGGGGACGGCCGCCCCATCCTTGGCGCCAGTGGAGGGGACGGCCGCCCCATCCTTGGCGCCAGTGGAGGGGACGGCCGCCCCATCCTTGGCGCCAGTGGAGGGGACGGCCGCATAAAGTATATAAGTGTAGGTGCCATTATTTGTTAATGGCACCCCCATGCATTGGAAAACTTGGCATGTGAAAATGTTTTCTTTGTGTTACTGCAGTTACCTCTGTTTATCTAGGAGGAAAAAAATGCAGGTACTTGCACCTAGTATGAATGGGCCCCAAGTTATCTGTATTTTTCCACATGGAAACTAACAGAATGCAGAAAATAATAGTTTTTTATGTTACGTTCAGCAGTGCATTTCTCTGCGTTCCATAGATGGAAGATTTTATGTAGTACGTTTGCATAAGATCACACTGCAACACAAAGAAATGTGTGAACAGGTACAAATACACAGCACTGCAACGCACCTCTCACCCACAACTATTAGGTCAAATGAAACATGCCTCTCCCAACTACCCATATGTCGATGGACTTTCGGTGGTTGTACCGGAGTGATGCCTTCAGTGGCAGGCATCACCCTTGTACTGTTCTTTTTTTTGTAAGCCAGCGGTCAGCTCTCTTGTACAAGCAATCGGAGCGGCTAACTAGCAGCTCAATTGCATTTACAAGCAGCAAGAGGGGACGTCCCCCCACCTTCCCCCATAGCTCTCTCTAGATCTCCTGTCCCACCAGGAATCCTAAGCGTCCAACCAGCATGGCCTTCGGCTGGCTGGCAAGCCGAACAAAACACGAAAATCGGCATTGATCGGCTCTCCTTTATTGTAAACCGTAAGAGACATCACTTCCGGTTTAGTGGGGAAAGTTCGATCTTGGTGTTCTGAATGCTTTCAAGTGCAGAGGAGGGATTTTGGGTCATAAAGACCCCAGATCCTTCCATAAAAATACCTGTTGTGTCTATTGATGTCACAGGGGATGTTTTCATTACTTGTGACAGCAATAAAAGGGATTCAAAAAAATTAAAGTGTAAAAAAAAAATAAAATATATACATTAATTAAAGTACCCCCTCCCTGCACGCAAAGGTGAATGCACATGTCAGTTCTACACGCAAACAGTGATCGTCCCACACAAGTGAGGTATCGCTACAATCTGACCATGGGCAGTAACTCTAGCACTAGACCTCTGTAAACCTGAAGTGGTAACCTGGAAATGCTTTTAAAAAGTGTTGCCTATGAATAGTAACATTTATTTATTTTACTTATTTATTTCAGGTACTTATATAGCGCCGTCACTTTACGCAATTTATGTCATTTGTGGCCGTTACACAGGTGTGCACAATTTTAAAGCGTGACATGGGTGGTATCCATGTACTCGGCATAACATCTTTTATATTTTATGTATTTTTTTTTTTAAAAAACTGCTGCGCAAATACTGTGCGACAAAAAAAAGAACAAAAAACAAAAACCAGCAATTTATTCTCTCGGGCCTCTGCTTTAGAAAAAAAAATATATAATTTTTGTGGGTTTTAAAAGGTATTTTCTAGCAAAAAATATGGATTTTAAAATGAAAACAAAAAATGCTTGGGGCTGAAGTGGTTATGAAAAAAAAAAACCCTATGTAGAAAAACAGCTTAGAGATGTACAGAGGCACAATTGATTTCAAGTGCGTTTTCCTGTGCCTTGCAGTGTGAACGGGCCCTTAGGCTAGGATCACATCTCTGCGTCTTGCGTGGGAACAGTTGCACAAGCACAGCAGCGTATTTATTTGAATGGGTTGCTGTACTTGCAGGAAACACGGTGGAAAAGTCCCTGAAACTCTCATTAAAATGCACCCGCAGGGCAGCACCGTGCAGTTTCCAGCACCTGAACACGTGCTGCATTTTTCATTTCTGATTAAGAATGAACAGCATACCCCACGCATCTGAGCAGCACGGTGGCTAAATGGTTAGCACTTCTGTCTGGCAGTACTAGGGTTGTTGGCTCGAATCCCAACCATGGCACCACCTGCCTGGAGTTTGCATGTTCTCCCTGTGCGGGTTTCCTCCGAGTACTCAGGTTTCCTCCTACACTCCAAAGACATGCTGGTAGGTTAATCCGCTCCAGTCTAAATTGTCCCTAGTTTTTGTATGTATGAATGTGAGTTAGGGACCTTAGATTGTACGCCCCTTGACTGGTTAAGCTGGCCATAAACGTGTATATTTTCGGGCGAGAATATTCGTACGCAAATTCTTTGAACAGTAATGGATGAATGTCGTTCGAAAAATCATCTTTTACTTTTAACATTTAATTTTAAAAATGAATGTAATTTCTGAACGATAGTCACATACACTGGCTGAGAATTTGTTTGATTGAGAAAAGGTTTTCCTTCTTGCCCCTTCAAATTTTCCCATCACTGCTGTCGAAAACAATCGATCTGACCCCCACTAACGATTAGAAATTCAAACAAAATGTTCTTGAAGTGAAAATTCTTGAACGGAAATCTGTATGTGTATGGCCACCTGTAGGAACTGATGTGAATGTACAATAGATATGTAAAGTGCTGCATAAATTATTACAGGTATAAAAGAACCCATAATAAATGTGCTGAAGAGCTACGCGTTTTACCTGCGGGTCAGGAACCGCTGTGAATATGCACCGCCTCCAGACCCACATATGGGTGAAACTAGACTTTGTCAAGGATCACGCATGTGCGGGTCGGGAACGTTCGCGAAATCGTGCGCATACCTGACCCACAGGCGAAACGCGTCGCTCTTTGACATGCAGAGGCGCCATTAACTCTTTATGGCACCCCCACACACTGGAAATGTGACATTTATGGGCACCAGATCACCACAGCGCAATTTAAGAAAAATAAAAGAGGGACTTTCTTCCCCGCACATACGTGATTCCCAACGCACATACGTGACCCTCCACTTACTGGACAGGCCAGTGGGAGCCAGCCCTACAGCCACAAAACATGTCATGTTTCTGTGGTAACCCCAGCAATAAAGTTGGATATATTCAGTCCAGATATTTTATTGAAATATGAATATAATTGTATTGATATGCTGTGGAGTCGGGGCCCCTCCATCACCCCAGCACTGCCCTCCTGGTCTGTATCTAGGAGTCATAAAGAGGTCCTCCACCCTCCTGACTGCTGATTGGTCATTTCTGGGTCAGGCCAAGATCCCCCTCCCCTTCCCATATAACCCCTTCCTGTCAGGACAATGGAGGGGATAGGAGCCCCGTCTGTACACACAACACAGGCGGACATGACTGGGACACTTACGTCGCTCTCCACCTCGATGTCATCGTTATCGCTCATGCTTTCATCCACCGGAGCAGACGGGGTGCCGTACGGGGAAAGCAGGGTGCCTCGTCACTGAACAATGACAGGGGAAAACACACACAACATCCAGACCCGGCCAGCAGATCACCCCGAGGAAGGAGGAGATCCTCTCTGCGCCCAGGAAAACAGATCACCGGAAGCCACACGTGACTACTCACCACCACAGTCTCCACTTCCGGTTCTCTGCGAGCAGGGGCTGCTGGGAAATGTAGTCATTAAGGGCGGGGTTGGACGGGGAACTACAGGACGTCATAGAATGAGGCGGTGGAGATCTGGGCGTTGTAGTTTGGGGGAGGAGGGGTTTTCTGAGCGGTGTCTCCTGATAGGTGGACATGGCTCTGTCATAGGGAAAACATGGAGAGTGTATACAGAAATACCTTATAGAGCTCCTGTTCACAGGGACTGACTCCAGTATAGATGGAGCTCGCTCCTCGCACTGCACTGTCTACATGTGTGGACGTTTCTCCAGTCAGGGCCTCCTAATAGGCTCACACTTTGGTATTTTGAATATAAAAATCAGAATTTGTTTCATGGAAAGTGACTTAGAACCCCCCCAAACCTTGTATATGTTTTTACAGCAGAGACCCCAGCGAGTAAAATGGTGGGTTATGTCATTCTATATGTGCACAGCAGTTTTTCAAATGCACATTTTTTTACATAAAAATTAATGAATTTTAGTGCACACAATATAATACCCAATTGTTTGGTCAAATATAAAAGATGATGTGACACCGAGTAAATAGACACCTAACATGTCATACTTTACAATTTGCATACACCCGTAGGACGGCAAATACAGTACCTAAGAATCTCCATAGGCAACACATTAAAAGCAGCAGTGTCTCTCAAGTGGTGGGCCGTGAGCAGAGGTGGGCTGCGGGGCAAGTGCTCCCCCCCAGCCTCTCTAATGCCCCTGCCAT